AACGTTTTCTGTTATTTTTAACATTTATTTTCCATTATATTTTTAAATTGACGACTTTCGATTTCACTGATTTCCGAGTACAAATAAACGTGTTACGTTATACCTGCATATCCACACAACATAACCGGTCACAAATTTAAAAATAAATTAAAACCATAGATCGCCATAAGCTATTCGTGGAATTCAATCTTATTGAAATAGCCTATAACGTCAATGTTCATTATAATAATACAATGTTATTAAATATTAATTAATTAATATTATAAACGTAGGTAATACGTAAAAATTATGAAAATAAACTATAACGTTTAATGATCGTTTATCAATTTACGATTTTTTGTGTTTTCTGTTACGTTTCGTTTTATGATTTTTTAAGTTATTGGTTTATTGTTTTGTTTTGTTTTTTGTTTTACTAAAATTGTTGTTTATTGCTACGTTTTGTTTAATGATAATTTAATATTACCGTTTACCGTTTTGTTTTCTGTTATCTATTTCAATCGTTTTTTTACTAGTATAACGTGATAATCATAACGTTATGTAAACGTTTTCGAGTCCTGCAATACTTACATTTTGTTACACGGCGCATTAAATAGGCAATTCAGGTACACTGCAATAATGCACGACTCGCTGGTTTTCCAATTGATGCCTTGGATTAGATTATTTCTGTTTAATTTATGAATATTCAAGAATAATATTATATAATATGATTATATGAAGTACTGAATGTGTTTTAATTATACTAACAAAAAGTAAAAACCTAGATATTTACACACTAAATGCTTAATATAACCTACAATATAACACTTATTACAATATTACATTTTTTATAACTCTTCTAACTACTTACATTTAAAAATATTTCTTGATATGAATCTATTAAAATAAACTTGATGAGTGAATAATTTAAAAAAAAAATTATTATAAATGTTTTTAAAATGGTGAAAATTACAATAATTTTTATAAGTTCAAGAATGGCATAAATTACAATTTTATTAGGTAAAAGATTCTTCATAATATTCACTTATAACATGTATTTCTGTAAATTAAATTAAAATAGTAAAATGTATGTCTAGTTCATAAGTACCTAAGTATTAATTATTATTATTCTACGATCGGGATGTGTCAAAACACGAAAACAAAAGCATCTCGCGTATTTTATGCACCTACTAAAGTGTTCTCGGAAATAAAATATAATGCGTCTTTGAATGAATATTGGGTAACACATTGTGTGTGTTATTAAATATTTATGTTAAGTCTAAAAAGTAAATTTAAGCTCCAAAAGAATACGAATACAAACTTACACAGACATCGCGATCTTCTCTTTCGGTGAAATCCTTAACGCATAGTTAACCACCGCACACGGGCACACGTATAAGTAAACTATACTGAACTTAAAGTATCGTGATTTATCAGTAGTTTTTGGAAATAAAACCGTACGAAAAGCAGAAAGTTTTTTGTTCATATCCGATTTACTTATTTTTAGTATTTATATTTATTTACTTTATTATTTTTAGATATCGACTATAATCGACTTCGTCCTCTGCAACGATTTTGGCTATATTATTGCCATATATAATAGATATTATAATACTCCAAAATCATGCATCAACAGATATAATATATAATAACACATCTTTTCATACGTCAAGGTACTAAAGAGCCAAGAGGTTCCTTGTTAACATATTGTTTATTGAAATTTGAAATGACAATAACCAAAATAAATCGTAATTTTAAATTTAAATGATAATAATTATTAATATAAAATATTATAAAAATTTCTTTTTTTCAGTACCTACCAAATGTAATAAGTTTTTTAATAAGTTCAACAACATGGCCATTGACCTTACAATACTATTAATTTTTATCTCAATACAACCCGTTGAATGTTTAACTTATATTTTACCTACCTACAGTTAGAACTTAGATACATTGTTTCAATTTTTTTAAAAATATTTTATTTTAAGATTTATATCTTTTAAAACTAACAGCCACAAAAATTGTTCACTGAAAGTGAACTTTATATACTACTATAAACTAGATAATTATCATTTATCAGCTGTTCTAATTAGTTTCCAAATTAGTTCAACTGTAACACCATCCACTATACTTAATGCTTAGTATGAGACTTTATTAAAATTTGGAAACATTTTATTTTATTTTTTTTTTTTTGTCACGTAAAATTCCTGAAGAAACATTGGGTCATTAATTTTTTAGTTTTGTGGTAAAACAAATGTCATGCAAATTCGTGCTAAATATTTGTGCAAAAAAAATTTTGACTTTCAGAATGGGCCGGGATAGTGCTGCGTACATTATACTTTCGACCTATTTTCAATAGATAGGTAGGTTTTCAAGTTAATAATGAAATATTAATACCTAATTACACTTTTTTTTTATTGACTCTCTGTACAAGTATCATTAAGTAGTAGGGTTTCCTTAAGAACAAATCCAAATACTTGGTATATGTTTAAAACCTTTCAATTACCTACTTTTTTTATTTTACTTTTTTACTAGTTAGTTTGGGAAATATTAACTTTATATTTACTTGAAATTTACATTCAACTATTATAGGCATTAGGCATTATTAGAACTTTTTTGTATCACCTTCTTAATTGTATACTGAACAATTAATATAAATATAACTTGTTATATAATTAAGTATTTTTTTTAATATTAATTAATTAAACAGTTGACAGTTGTTAATTAAATATATAAAATCATTTTAAAAAAACATTCCCAAACAATTTTGAAGAATTTAAGTAACAGGTAACAGGTTTTTCAAAGTGCCATCTTTTATTTTTTTGATAAAATACAGAAGTTCACAGAGCCCATTGCATTGCCAATAAAGGTCATCAACGACATCAACATTTACAAATGAAAAAATATTACAAATAAAATAATATAATAAATTAAAAAAAAAAAAAATGTGATGACTGACTAATAATTTGTTTGAATTTTCAAGTGTTTTATTTTTAAACACAAAAACGCCCAAGACAGTATTTAAAATACTTTCTAAATATCTAAATCAAAAAGTATTTAAAAAGTATTCTAAATAGTAAATGCTATGAAAGTATTTAATGCATTTAGTCAAATACTTAAAACACTGATAGGTAACTAACCTATAACTGTTATCTTGTAATGTATTTGAATAGGTATTTAAATACTTTTCAAGTAATCAAATACATAATAATAGAAATGAAAATAACCTGATTTGGTGCTATTATGCTGATGAACAATATTTTTATTTTAATCATTTTGGTAAGTACCTACTTGATGAATTCTTATTCATTTTGGGATTGTGTTAAGTGAATCTTCTGGTAGTTGATGTATTATTGTTGGCAATTGGCAAAATTAAAAGGAAAATATGACCTATATTGCGTGGTTGAAAGTGATAATCTAACTAGTTATCACCGTAAAAAAATAATCAAGGGCCCATCTGTCTTAGAAGCATGTTATACATACAGGCTATACAATAAAGTATATTTTTATGTAACAAAACTTTTATAATTTTAGTTTTATTTTTATTTTATAACTGAACCAAAATTAAAATATTCCTAAAAGTTTTATCACAAATTATTATTTATTTGGAATGTATTTAAAGTATTTTAAAAATCAAAATGCCAATTTATTTACATCAGAAAATACAAAATGTATATCAAATACATTTAATTGAAATACTGTCCATCCCTACTTATACCCTACAAAGTGTACCAACAATACATATTCTTCAACAAACAAAAAAAGACATGAGTATTTATAGCTGCACAAAATGACAATTGTAAAATGGTCTATAAAATCCATATAAAACATGAAAAACCAGTTGATTATTAAGAGAGAAAAAGTATTTGAATATTGTTTGAAAGTATCTGTAAGTGATTTTCAAAGTATGTATTTGTATTTGTACATGTTTTACTTTTTTCGCTGAGTATTCAAATACTTTTCAAAATAAGTGCTGTATCTGTACTTGAACACATAACAAAGTATATTATAATACAAGACTGTTGCAAAATTAAACGTATATCTATTAACCTTTTCACTGCTAAACTATTTATGCAACCTGTGTATGCTACATAAAATATATTTTTATCAACTTTTTATTTTTAATTTAAATTTTGAGATCAGATCTATAGATTCTATATGATCAAATTAAGTTTAAAGTAATGTGAGCCATTGTTTTCTAACATAGAACAGTTGCTAGCAAATGATAATATAAAATACATGAACATAATAGTACGTCTGAAGCAGTGAAATAGTTAATGACCTATTGCAAAATATAAGTTATAATCATTTATCATACATCTAGTATCCAATAGTCAGTAGAAACTATTGAACAAATTAAAATTTACATCGTTAATCATTGCCTCACTTAATAGTGGAATTTGACGTTTTGTTTAGTGCAATACAATATCATACATTTATTATGTAATATAATATGGGTTTTCAAATAATACTGTATTGATTGTTTGATATGTCATTGGCAAATTGTCATCCGGACAGTTAACATGTAAGTTAAAAATTCAAAAATACATATTATAATTACCCTAGCAGATAGACTTAAGACATAAATAGGATAAGGTCAGGGCCCTATTTCTTTTTTCTCCACCCTCACACAACATAACAAAATGAAATTCTGGTTGTTAGGTTAATTATTATACTGAATTTATAGACCTATTATCAAACTTAAAAAAGAACATTATCTGTGTTTGTGAGTTAGCGTTTTAAAGATATTTTAATTTTGATGTAAGTTATAAGTAAAAAACGATTAAACAATGCTCATATTATACCACTTTGTACAAGAAATCTCAACTTATAAAAAAATGTTTGAAAACATAAACAACATAACTTCTCTTTATAAAATATAATTTTAATTACACTTAGATAGTATCAGTATTTCACATAAATAAAAATGTATTTTGCCACCAATATACAAAAAAAAACTGTGAAAAACTAGAAAATGTATATAAAATTAATATTCATAATTGGATCATATTACATAGTATTGAAGTAATGAAAATTTTAAGCATCAACTTCCATGACAGTTTCCTCTGCAATTTGGAATTTTATTTCACTTTTACGTAAAACCTTGGTCAAACCAGCTGGATAGACATATTTGGCACTAAAAAATAAATGTTTGCATAAATTTACCTAGTATATAAATATAACAATCACTTATAAAGTACAGTCTAGTCACAATAACTTAATCCTTTTTCTTGTCTCTTTGAAATGTTTTGCATTTGAGGTATATAAGTTATAAAATACATAACACAAAGTTACTTTCATTCACTAGGAGAATTTAGGTATTGAGACTCGACTATAAATGAAAAGAAAAACCGTACGTGGCTGGTTTTTTGTTGGGTGTCAGATAGTTCCTGAGCATACGAGTCCCATCTTTTTTTATGACACAAAGGTCTACATTACTTCCAGAACCAAGATCATTAAAAACACCACCCAAAATAGCATCGCATGCAAGTTTCATTCCTTCTTCTTCCTAAAAATGAATACAATCAAGTTAAGAAGGTTTTCGGCTTAAGTAAACAATTAAAAAACAAATGTATTACTGTTAGATTTTCATTCCAGCGGCTTTCAAGTTCTGAGATGGCTGCCATACTTCCTGATCCCATAGATATGTAAGGTAATTTATCAATTGAACCATGAGGATAAATTGAGTATAAATGTGCACCACTGTTATCAATGCCACCTAAAATTAAAGCGGCTGAAACATATCCCTAAAATCAAATACAAATTAATAATAAATAAGATAAACAAATAATACCAGATAAAATATATTCTGTGTCTAGAGCAAAAGGAGGGAAACACACTGTAGGAAACCGGGTGCCCGGATAAATATTCGGTAACCAGGCACTCAGTGCACACTGCCCCAGTTCAAACTTTACGAGACAGAACAACGGAAGTAAAAAAAAATATGTAAAAATATAATTGGTGATAATATTAATTTAAGCCGACAGTCATAACTCATAAGGTTATATTAATTTAATTTAATTAAATACAATTAAAGCAAAACCAATCCCAGATTTGCTGATTTTGTTGTACACAATCAATGTGGTACCAATGTAAGCAACTATCACATTGAATAGATGGTTTTTTTGTCTATATTTTTTTAGCATCTTGGGCAAATCCATTTTATTTTTGTTTTTTTTTACATCAACGTTTGTTGTTACAGATTTTCATTGTCAAAAAACGTCTAACCATGATTTTTTATTTTCTCTTTGCTTAATAAAAAATTTTAATTTTTTATTTGTTTTGAATTGTTTATCATTCAATTAAAGACAGTCTCATGGTTCCAATAATTATTTAAATTTTAAAACACTTAACAACACTTGGATGATAAACTAAAATGATTTATTATAAAGATAAATTTCTATAGATGAATTAGTACAGACTGTATAGATAATACAGCTAAAAGGCTTAATATTGACAAATGACAAGTATAAAGTTATTATTAGGTTTAAGCCAAATATACAATTTAAGTTTTAATAATAAATTAACTATATATTCAAATAAGGGACCCGATTCTATATAAAGTGCGGTACCAAATATTTATCCTGGCCCTCGGTTTCCTAAAGTGTGACCGGGCGTCCGGTGCTCTAGAACCAGCATAAAATATAAACTGAATTACCATGTACTTGAAGAGATACTGACGAAGTGACCTAGCAGCAAATGCAACAGGAACCATTTCATCAGGAAACTTAAATGCTTGCAAAGAAACGTTGGCAGATACCATGCGAGTAACTTGCATCGTGTCAGCTGCTGTACCGGCACCACAGCAACTAAAACAGTGGAATAATTCATATGTATTAGTTTTCGAACTTTATTTCTTTTCTAATTAACATACTGCATGTATTTTCCAATATAATGGATTTTTTCACAATTTTTTTCCATAACTATTGTGTCTGATGTAGCACGTGTATCCGCAGCCAAAATAACACAATCACGAGTAGTTACTCCCACAATTGTAGTACCAGTTTTACGGAAACTCGGCATTTTGAGCCCCAATTTTTCAAGTTTTGCATTTCTATAATAACAAATATCAAATTTTATAGGTAATATGTTAATTGTTGCATGAAAATATACACAACAAAGGTTAAGTTGAATAACATTCTAGATTGTAAATGAGGTACCCACCTAGATTTAATTATTTATTTATTTTTTACAAGAATGAAGTAAATAAAAAAAAAGTGATCCACTCAACTTAATACAAAACAGTTAAAAAAATTTAAAGAAAAATAAAACTCTTGTCAACTCAACTTTTGTTAGAAAAATATATATGTACCTAATAGATGTAAACATTTTACAAATATTTTTTATTTTTATTTTCTTACAATTTAAATTTATTAAGCCAATAATACTATTGATTTTTCAAAGTTTTGAAATATAAATTTGTTAAAACAAAGGAAAATCTACAATAAAAAAAAGGTAAATATTCTAAAAAGAATCTACTTTAATATTTAAATACTGATTAGCTATATATTTTGGTACAGGCATATTTATGTTGTTTAATCATTTAGCATTTTCATCATAGACATCACTTCTAAATAACACAGATATGCCGATAACAAATAAGAACATTATTTTTATTTAACATGCATTATGGCATAATTATTTCAAAGTTTAAACACTTACTATATAAAATTAAAATAATTTTTATAAACACAATTTTTCAATGGTAACTAATAAGTCTAAAAATGACTAGGTACCTAGGTACTACTTAATTTTAAATGGAATAAATCGGAATCATGATATAAAATTAATGTTATTGATTATAATAATTTGAGTAAAAAATAAAACTTCCAAACCTTTCAAGATTCCTGAACGAAAAAGCATCGTTATCGTCGATGGAACTGTAGTTCAGAGCCATTATTAATAAATCGAAAATCTAAAGGAAATTAAACACAAGACAGAGAAAGCAGAATAGAACAATATTACAGTTGTCACTTTTTACTTAACCGCTGCAGACAAATAAATTAAATTACAAGATGAGATGTGTGAGGACATTAAGAAATCAGAATTTAAATAAAATGTTAGTACTGTTTGTAGGTAGATTGTAATTTGCTGTAAAATCGCTTTATCATTGTCAAAGACGCGACCGTGATACACAAAACCCATTTCAGAACTCTTTGACTATTAAATTTATTATCATTGAGATATCGCACATGATGAATTCTGAATTGATAATTTCATTTCATATCATTCTCGATTCTAAAATCTGAAGATTTTAAAAAATAAATTGAAAATCTGTAAAATTATTTAACCACAGATATATAATACAATATATAGTTATTATATATCTGTGTATTTAACTTACTAGGCACGAGCTCGGAGCGTAATATTTAATGTAAAAGTTAGTTAACATACAATTTATCCAAACAAAAGCTCAAAAATGTCAATGTCATTTTTGGCTCCGTCTTTGAGGTTTTCTGTATTTGATCCAACGAAATTGAAGACCATACATTCGGTTCTTATTAATGTGGTGAGGCACAAGTGGAATTTCACACACATGGAGTTGCCCAGTCCGAAATCCAGAAACTTCAGACGGGAAATCGAATGGCCTGCGAAGTATACCGTGAAACCATTAAACAATAAACACTTGGCTGGCCGAGATCCTGCCTCAGGTATTTATACCTAGACGTAGAAATATATACAAGTGTTAGATTTAATCAGTTAATTTCCAGGCCGAGTTGTTGTCAAAGGCTTGGGTGGCGGTATCAAACAGAAATACCATTGGGTCGATTTAAAAAGATTTGGACCCACTGGTGAACACGATGCTCCTCGAATTGATCGTGTCTTAGAGATAATGGACTGTGGCTGCCGAACAGCTAAAGTGGCATTGGTTGGCTGTGGCACAAATTTAAAATATATTATTGCAACTGTTAATATGAAACCTGGAGATATGTTGGTCACATCTGGTTACATTCCTCGTATTCCAGGTATGTTGTAATTGAAATTCATAATTTTACGCTATTTTTTTAAAATTAAGAGTTTGCTTTCCATTGAAAATTATTGTTACTGACACACATGTTTATAGTTAATCCAAATGAAGGAGATGCATATCCACTCGGTGCACTGTCTAAGGGAACTAAAGTACACTGCATTGAAAAGATGCCAGGTGAAGGAGCTCATTATGTAATGACAGCTGGATCAACAGCTACTATATTGAGGCAAGTCGACGACAGGGTCATTATTCAATTGCCATCAAAATTACAAGTATCACTTTCCAAACATTGTATGGCATCAATTGGTAAGTTTTCAATTATTATAAAACATTAATATTATACTTATTGTTTTGTCATCATCCATGCCTATGATAGTATAGATGATAGTATGAGAGTATAATCAACCACAAACTGGTGAAATATGCTGAAAAAAGTTGTTTTTTTTACTTAGAATAATTTGAAAATCTGTACACCTGTTGCAATAGAAACGTATTACATAAAATATATACTATATAGTATAAGTTAACATTAAACTTTATAAATTTATAATATTTGCATTTACCATGCATTTATAGCACACCTTGTAACAATATGCTTAAACTTCAAAATAGTTAATGCATACCTTTTTTTCTTTTGGTAAATCATCTAAATTAAGTCACATTTTAAACAAACAAATTTTAAAATGTTCAATTAAATTATAAACAAGCTATAGAAATATCTCTATCATTTTTTACTTTTAAATTAAAAACATTTTTTTAAAAATATTTCAACTTAATAAATTAATAATATGACTTTTTATGAATAAATGAGTAGGACATTTATTCTTTAATTTAAAATATAGACTAAATAATCTTTAATCCTTAAAATACGCTGTAATATGCTAAATACATTTTTTTTTATACAGGGTTTGTCCTGAATAAGTTGTCCAGATTATTTACCCCTGTTGAGCTGCATAAAGCCTAAAATATATGTTAAAACCTAAAAATCCATTCATTAGCTATAATTCATATAATAAAATGTTCTGACCGATAATGTAATATTTGATATTAAGGAAACCATCAAATATTTACCTAAGACAACAATAATATTGTTTACTAACAATAATATTGTTTACTAACAATATTAAAATAAATCTTATCATTCAAATTTAAATTATTGAATAAGATTTGTATATAATTATTAATTAAATTTCTGTTCCAGGACAAATATCAAATGCGAATCACTTCAAGGAACACATTGGCAGTCCAAATCGTAATCGTGAACTGGGTAATCGTCCTCGGTCTGGATTGTGGCAAAGAAAAACTGGTCGTTTTGGCCGTAAAATCAGACCACCACCACCATTAAAAATTATAACTGAACTTGCTCCAAAAAAAATGGAAAAAGTTACATTAGAACTAAGTGCTTTGTTTTGAAACTTGAGTACTCAGAACATTGAAAGATAAACTGTAATATCAAACATGTGTAAAATAAAATAAATTAATATTATTATTTATAATCTAATTTTATTAATGACTAATGTACAAAAAAAAAAAAATTGAAAATGAAAATGGTCTAATGTTACTGGACTTAAGAATTTGTTTGAGTTTTTTTCACAACGTGTGGTAAATCGAATTTTCCTCTAACGCACGTTATTTTTACACCAGGCAAATCTTTACATCGTCCATTACGTACTAATACAACATTGTGTTCTTGTAGGTTGTGCCCTTCGCCAGGTATATAAGCAATCATTTCCTTGCCATTGCTCAATCGTACCAAGACACACTTTCTGTTGGCCGAATTCGGTTTCTTTGGTTTTCTTATCAGCGTTTTGAGTATAACACCTTTTAAAAATGGATTATCACCCAACGGATTTCTTTTGAACATTGGTTTTTTATGAGGGCCTGTCTTGTGCATTTGATAAAGCGATGCCATACACCTAGTCGTTTCTCCCACTGAGTGGTATGAAAATAAAATTTTGACTGTTAATTAAAAACATTCTAGTAATTAGGTAATTTATGATAACACTTACGTGATTTATTGAGTACTAAATTTTTCATTCCCTGTAATAAAACATTCATTTTGAAATATTTTCGTCACACTCAGTTTAAAATAGTACTTCTTTCTTCAACGATTCGATAATAGGTATTTATTCTGTGATTTAACTATAACTAGTGTCGTCCAGAGACAAAGTTCCAAAAACCAAAATATAGTAGGTACTAGATTGAACTTTTTACTAGGCACTACGTACGAGGTACCTATTCTGCAATCTGATTTGATACCGTACGCCTGTTCATGTGATAGTGTATACTCAGTTTGATAATAATATTTATTTTGATAATCGAGATTGATAAAAAACCCAGTGTCGCCAAATGAAACTATGTAAATTAATATACAATATAATCAATTTGCCTACAAAAATGTTAATGAAAGATAATGCCCGATGTCGCAGTTCTTCCGGAGTAAAATGAAAATAGGTAAGCAGTTAGTACTTGTTAATTAACGACGATACAAAAAAAAAAAAGTACTTGATACTTAGTACTTAACTAGTAGCCAGTAGATACTCAAAATCAGTTGGAATTTCGCACACTGATAAAGCGTAGTCAAAACAAAACATTTTTGTCTTCAGTCATGACTAATATTGTTTTATTGAAATAAAACGTGCGCTATTTTCATTAGTGATTGTCAAACAGTCACTGGATAATATTATATCAAAATTATGCCAAATATTATTTATTTATGCTAAATTGTCTACAATATAAAGGTAGGTAATTATACATAATACATTATATATTATCCACTATAACTACAAGTACTGAAATACGTAATTTTGAATAGAAAACATTTATTTTATTTTTAAGTAATAATTTGTGAAAAAAATTTAAATATCTATAAAATCTGTACAAACTAAATATTTTAACTATAATATATTAGTCAAAATATGTTTAAGCAACTTAAAAAACTTATTTGAAGCATTATTTTACTTACTTTAGTCTAGGATTTCCACATACAGTTTTTCAAGCAGTGGAAAAACAAAAGATGATGAGTGTCACATCGAACTACAGAATTCTTTAAAAAATAAAATTAGTTTTAAGATTCAAAATAAAAAAAAATATTAAGAATTTAAAAGAATATAAATTTAAAAATAAAAATGGGAAGGAGTACATGGGCGCCCACAGGCAAATGAGTTATACGATTCGAAATAAAAAAAAATATTAAAAATTTAATAGAATATAAATTTAAAAATAAAAATGGGAAGAGGTGCATGGGCGCCCGCAGGCAAATGAATTTCAAGAATCAAAATAAAAAAAAATAATTAAAAATATGATTGAATATAAATTTAAAAAAAAAATTGGAAGGGGGACATGGGCGCCCGCGGACAACTGAATTGTAAGAATCAAAGTAAAAAAATTTATAAAAAAATGTACATTAAAAACAAATATTAAAGACTGCAATCTACAATATCACTATTACTAAACTCATAGTTTTATTTACAATAATAAGCTAATGAAATAATGAATTTTTATGAGTCACTAAACGATCATCAAAAATTAAACAAAGGTTTTGAAATAATTGAACTCCAGTTAAATTATAGAAAATAAAATGTGAAGAAAGCCATGGGCGCCCGCAGGCAAATGCGTTTAAGCAATCAAATAAAAAAAAAATATCACAAAAAGTGTTTAAAAAATAAATATTAAAGTCTGCAGACTACATTATCATTATTCCTAAACTCAGTTTTATTTACAATAATAAGCCAATGAAATAATGAATATTTATGTGGCACTGAGTGACCATCAAAATTTAAAAAAAGATTTTGAAATAATGAAAGTACAGTTAAATTATGGAAAAAAAATGTGAAGGGAGGCGTGGGCGCCCGCAGGCAAAAGAGTTTCAGTAATCAAATAAAAAAAATTATACAAAAAATTTAAAAAAATTTAAATTTAAAAATAAAAATGGGAAGGGGGGCATGGGCGCCCGCAGGCAAATGAATTTTAAGAATCAAAATACAAAAAAATATGAAAAAATGTGTATTAAAAATAAATATTTAAGTCTGTAGTCTACAATATCATTACTCCTAAACTCATAGATTTATTTACGATAGTTAGAACAAAAAAAAATTAACTTGAGTTGAATTATTGAAAAAAAATTGAAGGGGACCATGGGCGCCCTCAGGCAAATGCATTGTAAGAATCAAAAAAAAAAAAAATTATAAAAAAAAATGATAGAATATAAATTTAAATATAAAAATGGGAAGAGGTGTATGGGCGCCTGCAGGCAAATGAATTTCAAGAATCAAATTTAAAAAATATATAAAAAAATGTACATTAAAAACAAATATTAAAGACTGCAATCTACAATATTAGTATTCCTAAACTCATAGCTTTATGGTCAATAAAGATATAATGAAACAATGCATTTTTATGAGGCTCTAACTTGACATCAAAATTTAAAAAAAGATTTTGAAATAATGAAAGTACAGTTAAATTATGGAAAAAAAATGTGAAGGGAGGCGTGGGCGCCCGTGGGCATGTGAATTTTAAGAATCAAAATAAAAAAAAATTATAAAAAAATTTGATGGAATTTTAAATTTAAAAACAAAAATTGGAAGGGAAGCGTGGGCGCCTGCGGGCAAAAGATTTTTAAGAATCAAAATAAAAAAAATATGAAAAAATGTGTATTAAAAATAAATATTAAAGTTTGCAGACTACATTATCATTATTCCTAAACTCAGAGCTTTATTGTCAATAAATAGATAATGAAACAATGCATTTTTATGAGGTATTAACTTGTTATCAAAATTTAAAAATGGGTTTAAAAAATTGAACTATAGTTAAATAATTGAAAAAAAAATTGGAAGGGAGGCATTAGCGCCCGCGGGCAAAAGATTTTTAAGAATCAAAATAAAAAAAATTTGGAAAAATGTGTTTTAAAAATAAATATCAAAGTCTGCAGTCTACAATATCACCATTCCTAAACTCAGAGCTTTATTGTCAATAAATAGATGATGAAACAATGAATTTTTATGAGGCTCTAACTTGCCATCAAAATTTAAAAAAACATTTTGAAATAATGTGAGTACAGTTAAATTATGGAAAAAAAATGTGAAGGGAGGCGTGGGCGCCCGCGGGCAAAAGATTTTTAAGAATCAAAATAAAATAAATATGAAAAAATGTGTATTGAAAATTAATATTAAATTCTGCAGTCTACAATATTACTATTCCTTAACACATAGTTTTATTTACAATAATAAGCTAATGAAATAATGAATATTTATAAGGCACTAACGGACCATCAAAAATTAAAAAACGGTTTTTCCATAATTGAACTAGAGTTTAATTTTCAAAAATAAAAATGGGAAGAGGTGCATGGGCGCCCGCAGGCAAATGAATTTAATGAATCAAAATAAAAAATTTTTTTTAAAAATGTGTTTTAAAAATAAATATTAAAGTCTGCAGACTACAATATCACTATTCCTAAACACATAGTTTTATTTACAATATTTAGGTCATGAAATAATGAATATTTATCAGGCACTAACTTGACATCAAAAGTTAAAAAAAGATTTTGATATAATGTAACTACAGTTAAATTATGGAAAAAAAATGTGAAGGGTGGCTTGGGCGCCCGCAGGCAAATGAGTTTAAGGAATCATATAAAAAAAAATTATAAAAAATTTTTATAGAATTTAAAATTTAAAAATAAAAATGGGAAGGGGGGCATGGCACCAGTTGGAAATTGAATTGTAAGAATCAAAAAAATTAAATTATGAAAAAATATGATCAGAGTTCTATGGACTTTACCTTTGTACAATAAAATAATGTGTTGATTGAATGAAAGTTATTATGGTTTACAAAAAAATTAAGTGAAAGAGGTCTAAGGACTCTTTTATGTTAAAGCTATTTTTGACTTAAATAGTTTAATGTTTGAATTAAAATAATATTGTGATTAAAACTGTAACTAGCATTAATTCTGAAAAAGTGTACAAAAAATTCAAATGTAATAATATTTATAGTTTTGTTATTGTCCTAATTAATATGTTGGAAAAAATAGATAAAGTGAAATGTGGAAAGAAGTGAGAAGAAAACATATTGGGAATTATAAGACAATATTATTTTAATACACTAAAACATATTTTAAATTAAAACTAAAGAATAAATAAAGACTGAAAACCTCATAATAACTCCTCATACCGTCAACTCTCATTATTTCTTAGTTAACATTTTATTATATTTTTTGATACATTAAAATTTATAAATCAGTTTTTTTAATTTTTTGTGATTGATACATCACTAATTAGTGTTGACTGTTTTTAGTTATTATCAATTATAAGTACTGATACAACGCTAGCCGACTGGCTTTAAGACTGTGGATACAAATTATGATACTTAATTAGGTTCTAATTTATTGATGTAGTATTTAAATATTTTCTTTTATTGTTATGCTTATACAATATCGAATACCTTGGTAGTTAGTAGGAAAAGATCATTGCAATGCACTCGACCAGTGATGATAGAATACTACCACTAGCCTACTATCAACACCACAGCTTCAACTCTCCATAGCGCTTAGGCGTACTAACCTTTGTAAGACTTTTTTTAACCCTCTGTCTTAACAGCATAGTCGCGCGAGTTGAGCAGTATGGGGGGTGCTAGTTTAATCACCCCCGTTTGGCGCGCGACAGACAGAGGGTTAAGTGGGACCCTTAGAATAAAAAGATCCTTATTTGGTTTTCTACTTTTGTGTCCGCTTATCAAGTTGAACTTATTTTAATTTAATTATTACAACTTGAAACAACTTGAAGCATACAACATATGCGAAAGGCGATAAAGACTTTTATTATATGTGCATCAACTTGAAAGTATGATTGGATGTACATTTAAGAAGTAACTATAGTTAGGATTAATATTTTATAAGCATGTGTTGGCCCCGTGTTATAAGTGCTCATAAATTTCAGCAGATCTAATTTAGCAATGAAAATTTTAATATTAGAGTGTTGATTATAACTAACCTTGGAATCAAAGAAGATGAATGATAACTGCTTAACTAAAATTTGATATGTTTCATACTTGTAAGACGCATTTGAAAAATTGGAGACCACACATTCAGGTGAAACGTCTTTCTTAAAGCAACATCTTTTTATTATTTATTTAAGCTACATATGTTTTGTAAAAATTCAAGGAAGATGTCTAGATTTGAAGCAACTGAATAACGTATTGAAATAATTTTATTTTAAAATTCTTTGAGCATTATCTGGATGATGACCTAACCTCCCCTTCCACTGCCA